ATATATATATACTTTTTAAAAAGTTAATTATTTATTAGTGATTAATTATGTTATTGAATTATTGCCAAACATTTATTATCATTCTATAAATCTAAGCATACATTAAATTTTATATTTTCTTATTTTTCCAAAGTTTGCTACACTTTGTTACAAATTGTCCGATTTTTATGCATACTGTTTTATGGACAGTTAAAAAATGTACTTTTACTTGGGAAATCATAACATTTATTTACAGAGATGTTCACTTGATTTGGTACAAGGGAATTTTTTTTTAAGTGGTAGCTAAATGTATGATTTTTAGTTCAGTAACTTCTTAAAGTAATTTTGTCCACCACTACATGAATATAATTCAAATGAGCAAACAAAATGAAACTTATTTTCACTTAGTTTCTGTTAAGATTTTAAAGTTTTGGCGAAATTTAACAATATATTTCATATTTTATTTTTCATTTTACACCATCAAGTAAAATTCTTTAAGTAAGAAGAGCAGTTGGCACACCTGAATTCAACATATGAAAGCAAATATTAATAAAGAACAATCCTCATGCTTAAAATTATGAATAAGCAAAATACAGAATGTATTCATAGTTTATAAAATGGAAATGCATAAAACAGAATAAACTTACTCCTGTTTTTAAATCTACACTAAACCAATTTGGGACATATAACAACTTAAAATGTTTTTTAACTTCAGCTTCAAAATCTACTTCGCCCATGTCTTCAACTTTTCTTGCCTAAAATAAGCAAAGAAAACATAAAGCACTGTTCAGTATAAATTAAATTTAATGTGAGGTTAAATGCCACTAGGTCTTAAAAAAAAAGAAAAAAAAAGACATGCTGTGCTACAGCATTGTTCAGTGTGATCCAAATACAGTATGGGACCCTCAATCCCGCATCCCGAAATTTGGCACAAAATCCGATCTAATTTTTTTTTTTAAAGAAATTTTTATTAATAAGAGAAAAAAAAATCAGTTACATTCTCTTTCTATTTGGAATTTTACTCTGTTGAAGTAAGTAACTTTATTTTATCTCTCTCTAAAAAAAAAAAGAAAAAAAAAAAACATGAAAAAAAAATTTGTGTCAAATGAAACATCTATTTCTGAAGCAGTTTAAAATATCTAAAGTCAAAGGGAAAAGTAAAAACACCTGCATTTTCAATGAACAAAACAAAGAAAAGCAAGTTGGAAGAAACTGATCAACCAATCTTGACAGCTGTGCAAGTGCTCTACTGGTTTCCGCCCTTCTTACTCCTTAGTTCCCACATTTCCCTCTCCAGTTTGACCATAAATTAGCCACACCCTTTTGATAATGAAGCTTCCACATGGGATACAAACTGAATTCTATCCCTTTTGCTGCTTTTCTTATTTGATGTAAATTATACTCTTTTGTTTTTTCTATTAGTTATTAACTGCTCGTTTTTTTGTTTTGTTAATTGATAGCTTGTTTTTTTAAATCGTATTTAGTTGTTAGCTTGTTTTTTTATCATTATTTGTTGTTAGCTTATAAAAAATATATATTGTTATTTCTATTCTTTAGATTATATTTTAATTAATGAGATTTCTTAAGATGGGTCAGTTTTAAATTCACCTACTACGATCAAAACTTAACTAAATTTATTGGAATTAATTAATTTTCTGAAATTAGCAGTATAATTGAATTATTGTAATATATGGATGCCATATTGGAATTTCCAAAAGAGATCCGAAATTTGGCAAATTCCGAAATATGGAATTTCGTCAGTTCCATGAGTGCCGGATTTGGGGTCCTATACTGTATAAGAATTCATGACATACATATATTATAAGAATTACCTTATGGTAATTTGAGAGCAATAACAAAATGTAAGATTATTAAAAACAAAGAAACTAATATAGACTATCAATGTATTGGTTTTAAATAAAACATTTCATATACTACTTTGTCTAACACCAGGGCATGATTTAATGTTTTAGAAACAGTAGCAAAACTTGCTAGAGCAAAAAAATATTAGTAGTGAAATAAAGGTTTATACTACAGCGTAGAACCCCATATCCAAAATCAAGACTTTGGTAGGTCCGGAATATAGATTTTTCCAGATAATAGGCTTTTAAGGTAAACAAACATCAAAATATCCTTATTCCATAAAAAATAGCCATTAGAAGATAATTAACGTAAATTTCAACCAAGAATGAATAAATAAATGTGGTTTGCATGATACGTTACATTCACAGCTTTTGTTATAGATTTCCACACGGTTTTTAAAATCTCGATATCTTAATATGCCATTACAACATAACCCCAAATTTCAAATCGTGCATTTCAGTTAGTAATTATTTCTCAATCCACTTGAATAGGGACAATTCTACAGTGAATTCACATGGTTTTGCTAATTGTTTTGTAGGTAGTTATTAAAATGGATTTTACATTGGTTTTTAGAATCTCAATGTTTTATTAGGATATTATTTCATTCAGCAAACTTTTGAATTCCGCACTCAATTATTAAGGATTCAGTCGCAATCCCATGTGGATTTACAATCTCATTTTTGTCAGATATTGCTACTGATTTTCATGGTATTTTAATGCTACAATCCACATTATCATACATGGGAAATTTCAAGGCCAGCATTTGTAGAATTACTTTTTGATGCACTAGACTTGTGGCCATTTCACATTCCATGTGGTTTTGTCAATCCAATTTCAAAAGTTTGGGATTTACACACATATCTTTAAAATTTCGATTTTATTTTTTTATATATTATTACACTCACTTTTCAATTACACTTTTGAATAATCACTTAATGACCTGCTTTAGTCATGACAATTTCATCGCAAATCCACATTTTTTTCAAAATGTGAAACACTGTGAAATTGAGTGCATGATTTTTGGTGGTAATAATCATTTTATGCGAGACGCGAGGAAAAAAATTACACATCCTTTTTTTTTGCGCTGAAGTGAATTTTTTTTCCTTCATATTGTAGCAAAAATTGGATTAAAATCTAACAAAAATCAGAAGTCAGGTTAAAAAATTGAAAAGAAATTAAAAAACTGAGGATTCTCATCACTGCATATTTTTTTTAAACAAATTGCAAATGCAAAAAAAAATTTAAAAAAAGCTTTATTTATTTTGATTGCAAAAAGTGTCTGGTAAACAGATATCTGGATATGAGACTTAGTACTATAGTATCTATTAAAGCAGTATCGCAATACATTTTGTGTTGCAGAATATGTAACAAAATCATTACTATGTGACAAATTGCAATGAAACGATTGCTGATATTAAATGTTTACACTTGCTAACTCGTAAGAAAGTTCAAATAACATTGATTTATATAAGGATGAGATTGACCAAAAGGCAAAAAAGAGGACTTTTATAAAAGTGGCACAAAGGAACGTGTAAAGGAGAAAAAAATACGAGTTAAATAGTCAATGTGATTGTAAAGGGGAAACTTGTAAAAAGTAAGGAAAAACTGATAGTAAAAGCAGGCAATAAGAGGTTAGACAATAGAGAGGACAATGATAGGTTTTTCTTTAACTAACAATTTGCTACTTGCTAGTCGATGAAATTGCCCCCGCCTAACATTTCTTCTTTCATCAGCATGACATCCTAGTACAGGCCAAAGATGTCCCAACAAATCGTCTTAATCTATCTGGATCAGGCACTAGGTTTCTCAATTTATTGATTCCCATGGTTTTAAAATCTTTTTTCCAGAAAATCAATTAAGTTGGTGTTTGATCTTCCCCTTCTTCAGTTGCCTGTAAAATTTTGAAAAGTCAGCTTCTTAACTGGGTTACCATCATCCCTTCTACAGATGTTATCCAGCCATCTTATTCTAAAGGATTTAATAACTCAAATTATGTTTGGCTTCTTAAATTTTCTGTATAACTCCTATACGGAAAATTAAGAATTCAGTTGGGGTTTACTCCTAATCTAGAACCTGAAGTCTTTTTCTTCTTTTAAGGTAGTACTGAATCCACCAAACACTATTTTTTTAACAGCTCCAAAGATGGCTCTGAGCATTTTTCTTTCAAATATTAGCAGTTTATTTTCCACAATTTTATTTAAAGGCAAGCATTTGCTGCCATACAGTAATACAGTTTTAATAAAAGCATTTTGAATTATTAATAAAGTATTTTTTCAATAAATAAATTTAAGTTTTAATAGTTTAATATTTATTAATGCTAAATTTACAAATAAAAATTTATACTATACCTTAAGAATATCATATAACTGAACATGATTATCAGTGTCTTTAGTCAAAATGTGCCTTTTATCATTTAAGACAGCATAATGCCTAATGCTTGGGTTGCCTACAAAATCAATTAGAACAAGTACTTCAGTGAAAATTATTAGAATAATAAATAGCTAGGAAAGTTTTACTAAGCTCCTCAATTTTTAAGTACATTTAGGTAAAGTAATAGAAAATAAATAGATAAGTAAAATAAACTTAAAGATTATGGTGAATGATACAAATGAAAAATGACCCAGGAAGAAAGAAAAACAATACAAATTATTATGCATGTTTTAGCACAGATGCAACCTGAGTTGTCCTAATACTTTACGAGGCATTAGCATAGACCAGTTCTCAGGTCACAAAAAATAGCCCAGAACAGAAATAATCGGAGAAAAGCTAGAAAATGTTTTAAAAGTTGGGGTTTACTCCTAATCTAGAACCTGAAGTCTTTTTCTTCCTTTAAGATGGCCTTTAGACACCATCTTGAATTTACTGAAGGAGAGAGGGTCAAAAGGAGGAGAAACTTCAACTTTACAATCTAGAAAAGTGAGATACTGTTTCCGATGTATTTTTTATGTTGAGTTGAAACAGATAAAATCCTAGTTGATAGGATAAATAGTTAGAGTTTAAAAGCTAATAAGTAGGCGTAATGTATAAAAAGTACACATTTTGACTTATATCTGAGCACATACTATTCAGACAAATAAGATTTTATTTCTTATGTAATTTTCAGGCTACATCAAATGAACTAAAACCGAGTCGATAGGGCAAATAGTTTAAAAGTTGAAGGTTTTATGAATAAAAAGTACAGTTGTATTTATACCTTTCTGCTCATAAGAGATTGCTACTTATATGAGCATAACATTCTGTTCTAAGTTTAATATAGAATCAAAAAAGACTATATATAAATATATATAACTGATAGGATCAATAGTTTTAAGTTATAAGGGTATTAGTGTATCTAATGAATAAAAAGCACAATTTTTGATTTATACCAATTAACATATTTGATACTTATATCTGAATAGGTGAAGTAGTGTTTCCTACTAATTTTTTTTCCATTGGTTTGATTTAAACAAAAATCAAGAAGACCTGCCTAATAAATTAATAATTATTAGGGTTCTGTGTGTTTAAAGGGAACTATTTTTTTAACTTTTTGACATCTTTCAGTATAAAAATACCATAACTTTTAAAATATTTACTAATATAATATTTTTTTAACGAAAAATGCTTTCTTCAAAAAAAAAAATTAGAAAATAATTTTCAGTTTAAATTATTTTCAAGAAATTTGAAAAGACAACAAACTTTGTTTAAAGAGGAATTCTGTCTACATTAAAAATAATAATAAAAGAAAAAATTGCAGTTCTAACTAACCATACTTTAAAGAATATTATTTTACATTGTAGATGCTTATATTTGCCTGATGAAATAGAAAGATTATTGAGAATTCACCACTAATGTGGTTTTTCAAAAAACAAATTTTTTTAATAGCTTTTTAAATTTTTTATTGAATTACTTTAAACCCAAAAAGTATTCAGGTCTCAAGGCAAATTAAGCAATTTTAATTTTATGAGTCAAATTACACAAAAATGGATTTTACAAATCAGAAAATTGTATTGAACATTATAATGTTATTCTGCTTTACATCTATTGATAGAAGTTCAGCATATTTTTTGTGAAAATTTTGAAAAAAATAAATAAATAATTTTTTTCTGCAGATTCAAGAAAAACATATATATGTGTTTTAAATCGCCAACACATGAGTACAGCCTTATATAATTTTTTCATTATTGTGACAGGATATAGACCCGATTTTTGTCTAACAATACCAGATCTAGCACAAAATGCAATTCAGAATCATGCAAGCTTTCTTACAAGTCAATACAAAAGCATTAAAGTCTGGTTTAATGAGCACCATAATATTCTATCAAATTATATCAACTCCTTTTTGCTTGCTTTTTCACTTTTTTAGATTCTTTTTTAAGAAAATCAATACATATGCATTCTCTTTTGAATATGTAATAAATGTTTCTAGAAAATAAATAATATAATTGCACTGAATATTTCACGATTCATAATATAAGAAATTGTGATTCAAATTTTTTGATAAATTATTCTAAACACATTTTACAAGTTTTTTTCATTCGTAAACTAAAAAGGAAAATGTTTTTATGTTTTAATTCATTCATTCCTACATATAACTAGCAAGTAAATATTTATATTAACACTATAACTCTAACAATTATAAAATTCAATAAACATAAAAACAGTAACATAGTTTGCTTTCAAAATAATTATGCAGATGAAATAGAAATTTTTAAAAAACTGCTAAGAAAAATCATATGAATTTATTTAACTTTCACGAGTTTCTCATAAGAGGTATAAACATTGATTTTTATTTAAAAATCACTATTTACTACAGTCAGTATTTATTTTATTACTGCTGGTGTTAGAGAAGAATAATGGAAAAATCAAGCAGCCTCTGCAAAATGATCTACATAAATTTAAATATACTGTAATTTATTTATAACTTGCCCTAGTTTTTTCTCTCCATCAACTTTTAAAAGGGTATATGTTTTTATTACGCTACTAAATACAAAAGATAAATGTTACAACATAAATGTATTTACCTTTAATTACATAATCAGCTTGCTGGTTCTGAGGAGTTAAAATGTCTGCATCATAATCTTCCATTTTAGAGTTTCTATTATTCACCGGCTAAATATAATGTCATTATAAAATGAAAATTTAATGAATAGATTTAAGAGAAATTAAGCTCATTGCATCATTTACAAGACAATAGCAATATAATATTGGAAAAAAAACTGCAATGTTCTAGAGCTATCTATCTAGTTTATTGCAAAATTTTATTTTAGAGATAAGAAAAGTTCAGAAATAGCTAATAAGTTAATGGTGAAGGAAGAAACATTGGAAGATTGAAGTTTATTGGTGTTAATTATATTTTGGTGATTTATGAGCAATGCTTTTGACAAAATAATAAATATTTGGCAAAGTGTTGAATCAGACAACAAATATTTTGTCACTGAAAAATTAGAATCCTTATCATATAAAAGGTCTGCAAACACATGCTTAAAGATGTATTACTTAATTTAGTTAGGTAAAATTGAAGAACTGTTTAAATTGAAAGATACTCTTACAAGTTACTAATTATTACATAAAGCATCTTAATAAAATAATCATGAAGGTGATAAAGATTCTAAAAAATTTTTACGCTTCAAATATATATAGTGTGTGTATATATATACACATATAAATACACTCATATAAATACAAAGTGTTCAGTAAAAGTTGTCCTTTATGTATTTTTGAAATCCTAATCAAAAATGAAAACAGAAAAAAGGCATACACATTGGAAGTCGTAAATTAACCTTTAAGCAAGGGGAAAAAAAAGGCTATCGAAATCTGACAATTCACAGTACAGGTAGGCTGATGTAACAAATTATCAGGCAAGTGATAGTGGAAGGAAACATAGAGTTGAAAGGTAATTATTAGAAGCACCTTTAAGTTAAAGTTTCTATTTAAACCTTTAATCCAATTTACAACCTTCAGTGATTTTATTTCTTTCTCTCCTAAAAATTTGCAACTCCCAAACTTTTTTGTTTTCACTTTAATAATTTCATAAAAATACATAATAAAGGCCATCTTTATGGAACACTTTCCAGTCATCCATTCATACATGCATACATACATAAATTACTTATAAATAAATGAGTAAAAATCAGCCTAAATGTGTTTTTATTTTATAAATAGTAGAAAATGAAAAACTTAGATTTAAAAGTTAATATGAAATCTCTTACATTTAAGAACTTATATAGATAGCAAAGCTGAGTGGATGAATAATCTAATCAACATTTGAATCAATTTGGGTAAATTAGCTTTAAAAGTTATACATTACCAGTTTTTGTCGATCCTCTCAATCTCTATGTCTTTAGTTTATCTGTGTAAGTATTACACACAAAATGTTTGGGGTATATTGATTTTCCCTCATCTGTTTCTAGTTATTAAGCATTTCTAATGTTCTTCAATAGATATGATTTTATTATATCCATTGAAGCTAAAATTTAAGAGCTTCAATTTGAAACAAAAGGATATCACAATTCAACTAGCCTCATTTGTCCAAAAAAACATTTAAAACCAATTTGTAGACTTTGAGAAGGTATCACTTTACTGGTATTGATCTTTAATGTTGGTAAGAATTCATAAATAATAGTAACATAATTTACAAATTATAGTAATATTATTCATTTCATAATAGGATAAAAAACTTACCCAGTTTTTAATATTAGAATCTGTAGTTGCAACCCATAAAGAAGAAGAATCTGGAGTCAAAATCATCTATAAAAAATATTTAAGATAAAAAAAAAAAGTTTAAAATAAAATGTAAAGAATTCAATTTATAAAATACAAATTTAATCAATTCTTAATTGAAATGGCATAAGAATAATAAGTAGAGAAAAAAAGCAAATTCTACAGTGTTTACTTTAAGTCTGACTTTTGGTTAAATGTAAGAAAAACTAGTATCAATATTTCAAGAAAAGGTATTCGATTAGATAACAACAGTTCCAACTTTTAACTGATAGTAGCTTCTAAAGTCAAATGAAATAAAAAATATTACAGTAACAGCTTAACTATCTGAAACCTGAGGGAATCAGCATATTCTGAACATGGGAAATTTCAGAATACTTAAGGAAGTTTTCAATTCTTAAAACAAAATTTTAGTCAGAACTTATTTTGGGATGATGAAAGAAAAACGATAGAAATGCTCTTAAAAAATATTAATTCATCATTAAGCAGGTCATTAAGCACTGCTCTATCGTAAAGTGCTCGACTTTGCGTGCAGGTCATCGGGCTACCAAAGCGGGGGTGCCATCACCTCTGCAGAAGATCAAAATTGTGACAGCTTATCTTCGGATCATCCTCAGGGATGTTTCCCAGACCGGCGCCAATAGCCCCTTGCACAGCTATAGTGAGACGTAAATGAACTACAACAACTCGTGCATCAACATGAAACAACGCTCCTTTCTGCAATGTGGCTACGGTTGTATTTTCTCATTTTAATTTTTTGATGCATATTATGGGAAAAACCTGCAAAGCACTGAAGCTGCAAAACATGAAGCGCGAAATGGCAAGGGAACACAGTGCTTTGGTATAGAGTTTCACAGTTATTGAGAGCATTCCCAGAATTTGTATATATAGACCCTTACAGTCTTAGAAAGTACTTTTTATAAGGATTTGTAAAATCAAAGTAAATTAACCTTTTCCTTTAATTTAAATTATGTTTGCCACATAGAGTTTTTGTTTTTTCACTGCACATCCTCAACATTGGGAATCACTGTACTTCGCTTGAAAAAGCAGGGTTCTTTAGGGACTCATCTTTTTCATCACTGCAATTTTGCGAAGATATGCCACAGCATTATGATTTAAAACATTAAATTTTGGTATGTTAATATTTACAAGCAACTTAACAAGATTTTGTCTTTTAATATTTAATGCTTTGGTACAACATTAATTTTAAAAAAAGACAGATGAGGAGAAAATAATGTTTAGCTTGTATAATAATGTTCAACTAGCTAAATAATTTTACTATTCAAAATAAATGAGAATTTTATGAGTATTTCCAGTTAGTATTTTATGAAATAAAATTACCAAAAAGTAAAGGAAATCAGTATACTCAATTAAAAAATCAACGCAAACTAAGAAATTTTATATGCAAAAATAAATGAAAATCAGCAAATTTGAAATTTGTTAATGAAATATTTAAAGACTTACAGGAAAATGACATCCTCGAATTTTCTGAGGACACACGTATACCAGGAAGAACCATAACAGTATAATTATTAAATAGCAATACGATAATAAATAATATAATTAATAATACAAGCTATATATATTAAATAGCACTTATTTATATCCATATTAATTTATCATATTGTTTTTATTCATTTGTTAATACATAATTCTAATATTTGTTTAATTTAAATAGTATTTATACTTTTATCCAAACATTAATTATTTTCAGAAATTCATTATATTCTAAAATTTAGTATTTTATTATAAATGAAGATTTTAGTTTTATTAATTAATTTCTAGTATTAATACTTTACATTGTATTTATATATGTAAATTTAATTAAAATAAATAATCTATTAAATTATTGTACTTTTAAGCACATTGAATGGTGGTCCACAGTGTCCCAAGTAAAGATGGTCCACTGTGAAAGCAAAAGAAATAATACTGAAATTTTATATTGACCATAAATATGCAAATAATTTTTGAAAACAACAATACTTCTCCATCAAAGTTATTCAGTACTTATAGGGAGTAGTTCAATCTTTATAACATTAAAAGAACTTCAAGGTGGAAAAATTACTTTAGACAGCTAAAATATAAAATCTGCTCAAAATGACTGCCTTGGTATTTCACATGTAGTTTTTTTACTTGTATACTTCATACGAGCAAAAGGAGTTGGATAGAAATCAATTTAAAAGGAGATGGTACATTGTGCAGAGTTTTCCTTTGTTGTTTAATATATTTTCATTTAGTTAAAGAAAATGATTTTAGGTGATCATACATCAAGTAATATTTAATTTTACAGTGGCTCCCAAAAGTGTTCGCACATTTATGACTTTTATTGAAATAGGGCTCTATTCATTAATTAAAATGAATATTTCAAAATGGGTATTAAATAATAAGATGTATAATCCCTTTCTGCAAAACTCCAGGGAATACTTTAAAAACAAAACATAGGTTTATTTTTAAGAAATCAATCATAAAGTAACAAAAATTTTACCTCATTAAAGTCATTGTACAATTAAATGTTTTTAAATTTCAGAATTAATATAGTCCATTGCTTCAATTAATTATTTTATTTATTAGCAATTTAGTATCCAACTTATGGTAGCAAAATTTTATTTTAATTTTTGCTTGCTAACTCCATGATATTTTCTTTTAGCACTTAAAAATGGCTTGTAGTCGTAATAATACAACAGACAACATTTAAAAGTTTATTATTTGTCACCATAAGAGGTAAATCAGTAATCAATTTAGCTAAATTAGTTTATTTTGTTCCATTTCATTGTGTAGTATGTGATAAGATGCTTAAAACAAGGATTTCATATCTGTGTGATCAGAGATTAAAATCATAAAATTTGAGGAAAAATTCATAAATTCACATTTGAGTGTTGTAAAAGTTTCTGCTAAATTTAATTAAAAATGTACTGCTCAAATTTCCCCCAACAATTTTCGACAAGTTCTCAAAGAAGCTTGATAATATGAGTGCTGAAAAGAAAAAAGTATTTTTTAACTCTTTTACTTGCTAAAACAGGTGCATTTTTGTCACCTCTATACCATATAAAACACAAATTATCATCCAGAAGCAACCAAAGAATAAGTAAGGAATTTCGTGAGAATAAAATACTCACTTTTAAGACAGGCGCTGTCTCCTCTCCAATTAATGCTTTAATTTCTGTATTTCGTAGATCAATTTTAAAAATTTTCCTATCACGTCCACCAGAAAAAGCAACAGTAAAGTTCTCATTTGTCTAAAGGAATTAGGAAAAATTTTTAGAATTAAAAAGAGAAAAATCAAATTTAAATGAGCAGTTTTCTACATTAGAAACGCTATATTTTTGCAATATTATGTGATTATTATGACATTTTACAACAAAAAATAAAATCCTGTAAGTGAAAACTGTTTTTGATATATCAAACTGATATAGCTGCTTTAGTTAACACAAGTTAACAATAATTTCTAAATAAAAATTCGAAATTCAAATCTTGAAAGATTTTAAATTAATGAAATAATAAGGAAAATAATCAAACTTGCACTCCATAAAAGGCTTGTCAAAAACACTGATTTTTAAAAAAATTTGAATTTTTTAAAATTTAAATTGTTTTTCTTTAATTTAAATCAGTATTTTTAACATTTATTAAAATTTACTAATCAGAACTCAGATAAACTGTATTAATAAATCTTTATATTAATTAACTAAAGTAATAATAATTTCAAACTGAAATTGTTAAAATTATTTAAAAATAATTATTACTAATTAATCCTTAAATTTTTTAAAAATCATAGTTATTTTTTTTTTCAAGCTGAATACTGAACTCTTGTGAATTTGAAAAGACAAAGATCGAATTCGATAGTTAGATATCAAACGAAGAATTAATAGAATTAGATCAGGAAACATAAATTCACTCAGTCTAAATTATTCTTAGCAGAACAAATACTTTATACAATAACCATTGTATTGTTCGAAAAGTAATATAATTTTTTATAGTCAGAATACTTAATTACATTTTTTTACGTTTAAGTTACATAATCAATATATATTTCAGCAGCAGATGTAGAAAGCTTGTGAAAAAAGTTCAATTGATTCTCAATAGTTTCTGGTTGAGAACCTTTCAAATAAGGAAAGTGAAAAGAAGCATTTTTAGCGTGTTACTTTTTTGCTGTCAATAAGGTAAAAATGCTGTTCAAGCAAGAAAAAATTATCTGATGCGCATGAAAAAAATTTATTAAGAGTACACCACTGCCAAAACTGGTTTGCCAAATTTTGATCTGGTAAATACAGGGTTATTCATAATTCACCATGCTAGTTGAAGCTAAAGAGATATAAAGGCATTAATTGATGCAAACCAGTGAATAACAATTTGTGAGGTCGCTGAGAGATTAAATATAACAAATTCAACCATTCATGATCATTGAAACAGCCTAAGGTTTAATCTCAAAACTTGAAATATAGGTTCTTCATGATCTTTTAGAAAGAAATATTTGCCGTTGCCTTGACATCTGTGATTTGCTTCTCAAACATTAAGAAAATTATCAATTTTTGAAGCGCATCATCACAGGGGACGAGAAATGGATTGCCCACAACAAAGTTCTGGTTTCTCCAAATTTTTAGACAGTAAACTTTTACTTCAAATGAGGCTAAATATCAGCTGGATTAGTTTTTCTGGAAAGAACAAAAATTCTTATGAGCATGGTATTATTCTACTACCACAAAGATGGCAAAAAGTAATGGTTCAGAATGGACAATATATTATTCAATAAAATATTTATTCACGATAAGAAAATTACTTTTTTCATAAAAAAAAACTAATCACTTTAAGAACAACCCAATATATAACAATACTGTTATTTAAAAAAACATAAAATTAAAAGGCATAATTGAAATATGCTTATTAAACAGAAACAGATTTTATGCACATTTAGTCAGTTTTTTTCCCTTTAATTTGTCAATTTTGAACATTGGGTAACAATTTACTTCTTTCATTATTTCTTTATATAAAACTTTTAACATCATTAAAATCCAATGTTGGAAAAAAACATAATAAATTCTAAATATATCTTCAAGAAGTATATTCATATCAAAAATATTTTTGACTTAAATCAATTATTTCTAAAATAAAATTCAGCAGGTGATTTAAATCAATGATCAAAATCACAATGTAAATCATGCCAACCCTGCTCTATAATTGTTTTAAAATTAATATCGAAAAGTTACGATTCGTTTCGGGAAGAAAATACCACTCAAATTCCAAAGAAATTAAAAATAGTTAATGCAAATACTATTTTTTTAAAAGACAACAAAAAATAAAAATTAGTCTGCGAAAGATTTAATAAATTTAACAATAATTTATGCCTATTATATACTTAGAAATAAAAAATTACTAATAAAAAATAATAAATTAGCTTATATTAATAAATAAGCATCACGCTTATGCTATTGACAAAGGGACAGAGGTTGGAAAAATGTTTCATTAAATATTACTTCAAGTCTTACATAAATTATGAAATAAGTATAGAGGAGTAATTGCAAATGTGTTATTCATTTAAGGTAGTTATGAAAGTTTTTATAGTTTGTTTGAAGAATGCAGGTAGGACGCTGACACTAGAGAGCTATTTTCTCCCAAGCTCTATGCATTCATTTACTCAATCCTTTATCATTAAGTTTATTTGTAGTTACAAACACAGAATTTATAAATTTGATAATAATAACCACAAAAGTTCAAGTTTATGGTCTATTCTTTACAGCTGAAAAAATTAAAAAATTCTAACCACCTTCCCATCAAAAAGGTCAAAAAAAAAAAATATGCAATAAGCTAAATGAATTTCCTTTTATAAATCAATCTCAGAACGTAAAATATTTTAACATAACATTACTAGTAACAAATGGCCTTTTAAAGGGTTAAAGAGTGAAATTATTGTTTTTCAAGACAACATGATGGAAAAATGTTTTCCTTAGTGTTAAGTGAAAATTCCTGTGTAAAGTGTTTTCATATTAACTACCGTCCCAGACCAAATTATTAGACGCACTATAAGATTCTATGCAAAATCTTAATTATCAGGTGATACTTTACAGCTTTATTGTTTTTACGAGATTGCAACCGGTTTGCACTCATTTACATTCGTGCATCAATTGGTTAGATTAGACAATAGGTAATATAAATTCAACGATAGGATAAATTAGATGATATATTATATAAATATGGAAAATTTATTATATCAGGTATAATATTAGTATATTATAATAATTAGTCCAAATTATTCAACGCACAGTTGTGTTTTAATAATTACATGTTTTGCACGAGTGTATATGCAATACTTTTATATTTAAACACACATGCAATTGGTTTTTATTTAAGAGACTTTTAATATACTTCCTGTTTGCATTAATATATTGCTTTTTATAAACGTATAGCATTACAATGTTAACTAATTGATACACGGGCATAAACAAGTACAAACCGGTTTCAGCCACATCAAAACAATAATGCTGTATAGTATCACCTGATAATTAAGATTTTACGTAGAATCTTTTATAATAAATTAAGCTAAATAAAAAAAATAATAAATCATAAAATCCAAAGAACTTAAACCCCATTTAAAGATTACTAATTATAGTTTTTGACAAAAAAAAATTCCTCCAACTTAAATCTCTGGGTTTCCTTAATGTTATAGACACTTTTTAGCATCAACATTCTTTAAAAATATATACAGTGAATCCTCTTGTTATGGACCCTCCTGCAAAACAGATACAGACATATTTTTAATTTCCCAGGAATCTTCCATGGATAAACCATTTTGTACATTCTCCGCAAAGCGGACGCTCCCATAACCGACAGTCATATTTGCCCTGAAACGTTATTGTCTATCTCTTCAAACCGGAAAATACTTTTTCTAAATTTGAAAAAAAAAAAAAACAACCCTATTTCTGCTTTAAATTGTCAGAAGAAAAATTCAACTTTTCACCATATTTAAAGCATATAAACTTTTTGCTTTGTCCATAACTGAAAATATTGTTAAGTTTAGGTAACTAAATCAATTCCTTTCTTTAAATGGAAAATTAGAAATTTCATTTTTAATAAAAAATATTTTAGATTGATGATCAAAATTTTCAAGAAATTAAAACAAAACAGAAGGCACAATTCAATCCTCTTTCAGAAGCAATAATTCCTGGAAATTCTTCCGAATGAGCTTGGTTGAAAGAAGTCAAGTATTTGTTATTAACTTTTTTTGCCGCCATTACATATTTCTACACAAAAAACAAACTAACAAGACAGAAAAACGCATAAAAACAAACTCAGATTCAAAGTCGCTGATATTGACTTCACTTCACTGTATAACGAAAGCGATCGGAAAATAATTTTTCAGCACATACAGTGAACGTTCTTGCTTTCGAAAGAAGCCAATCACAAAGTATTTACGAAGAGAAGCCCAACTCAGCAGATTCAGAAAGGAAAGGAGAAACAACGTTCTTGATTGGCCAAGACATACGGAAAACGTTGCAACTCAGGACCAGCATTGAGACTGAAATTAATGAAAACTGCGTTCAGCGTTAAATAAGTGAAAAAAACCGGAGATTTTCGCGATAACCCAGGAGGAGAAAATAACTTGTAAAAAACCAGAGTCTCCGGCCAAAAGCAGGAGGGTTGGCACATCTGAAGTTTAAATAAAAAACCTTGTAGATAGTTATTGTAGATTATTTATTTATTTCTATATCTTTGAAAATATTCTAAAAACAATTTATGGTGTTAAATTTCATTATTAGGGTACCCATCCTTTAAACGGACAACTCTCATATACGAACAATTTTTTCAGTCCCAAGAATATTCACTTAACCGTGGTTTCACTGTATAAATAAAGCACCACTTTCAAATTTTACATTTAAACCTTAAAAAAGTCTTGAAACTTTTTATTTACAAAAATATAGATCACATTAAAGAATTTCATACTGCTTTAAAAAGACAGAATCTCAATAAGTAACTAACATTACACTGATATAATTAAAATAAGCATAAATGTCGTAGAAAAAAGATTTATGAATGCATTATAGAGTTGCTATTTATTATCTCTATATTAATAAATTCTGTAGATATTATATACATATATACATATAAATACAGAAACATTTTCTAAAGAAATTAAATGCATTAAAAAGAGAACAGTTTCATACTTGTAAGGCCCACACACCAACATCGTGAACTCTTATAGTTGCAACACATCTTTGCTGTCCCAAAGACCATAAACGGATAGTTCCATCAGAGCTTCCTGATAAACACTAAAAGGGATAAAACAGAACTAAGCTGAATTAGTTAAACTATAAAATGCAGTAAAGTGTGTAAAAAAATGCCAACTAGAATAACTTCTACTCTAATGATTGGATTTACAAATATTAAAAGTTAATTTTAATAGTTCTAAACGGAGACTTCAAATATGCTAATTAAATATAGAGCAGGAGCCGATCCAGACTTTATTTTTATGAAAATATTCTTGAAAAGAATTCTTTTGAAAATTTCCTAATGAAAAACATTAAGTTTTAGCAATCACTATATTTTATGCTTAAATAAAGATATTTTTAAATGAAAATTGGCTACAGTAAAAGATGCCTCAAAGAATAAATGAGGGCAAAACTGAAAAGAAGATCCATAATAGAAATCAAATAAAATTTAATACTAAATACCTAGTGATTTACTTAAAATGAAATACACTGAGTATAAGAGCACTGGCTGGTGTTTTAAAGGTCCAAGAATATGGAGGAAGCGTACGTTTGGGGAGAGTGTCATGAATACATTGAGTTTGCAGGGAGACTGATAAATGAGCGGCAACCATGAGTAAGAAAGGGAATTTTTCAAAGAGGTAGAAGACACACTGTAGGCATCTCTTGGCTTTTCATACTTCAATGTGCTGTGGGAATATTTTTTGCATGCATGATTTCTTTTCATTCAAATGCAGAAGAGAGGGGTATATGGAGAGCTTTCTTCGAGTGTTTTTGTCTTTAAAAAGTAAATTTCATGTTCCCGCCTGAATTCGTTTTGAAATTTCGAGAATTCAACGTGAACAATTGTGTGTGGCCATTTTTATGAAATTAAACTTTGTGAAGGGGCCATCTTTATAAATTAGAATTTTGTGAAGTGGCTTTCTTTAGAATATGAATTTCATAAAAAGGTTGTTTTTTAGAATTTGAATTTCTGCCTGGATTGACTCCTGTAGTACTAACTATTAAATATATTAAGAAATCAGACACAAAAACATACACTTTCTGTGACAAATAAGTCTCTTTTTCAAAAGATTTGGCAAAATATTTAATTAGAGCAAATAGATAAATTTTATATGTGGTTAATCTGCAAGGACCTTGACTTTCAAGAACGTAGTATAAGAGTTTAGTCATTATTTTTCATTAATAGTTGACTACAAATCTTTTTTTTTCCCTAAGAGATTTAAAGATTAAATCCAAAGAATGTCAAAATTTATAAGACATGTTATTGATAAAATGAGATTATGTTTCTGCTTTATTTTATATACTTGGTTTTATTTCTTAGTTGATTTAATTTCAATAATACACAGGGGTATGTATTTACATAGAATAATGTGTTTAATAATTATTCAGTATATATTTCAATCATTCAAGAATAAAAAGTGCTACCATACTGGTTTTAAAAAAAGGTATTTTTATTTTTTCTAAAATCAAACTTTTGTAACATAAACAAAGCTTTCTTCAAATAGCGTTTTAATGTTTCAAGTCTTTACAAAGATTAAAGATGAAATATGGAGTTGTCAAACACATAACCAAAAATTTTTTAAATACTTCAATATCCCATACATTTTCATTTACATCTTCTTAATATTTAAGTTTTGATATTAAATTTGTATTTTTCAGAAATTAATCAACCAATTGCTCAATTATGTTTTTCAATTCAAACTGAAATACTTTATGTGACCACATAGATTACTTTTTTCATAATACACTAATCTATGTTTTATTATTAGTAGTACTAAATTTAAGTTTTTCTTTGAATTCAACCATCACTTTTAAGTGTTTGCCAAGTTTTTATTATTAAAAAAGGAAGAAAAAAAAACTTAGAAGTCTAGTTGGCTAAAGATTTATCTTAAGAATATTTTGACATATTGTACAATTAATAACATTTTGACAAGTTAATCAGTGTAAAATGGCTGCTGATCTTATTAATCATGAACACACTTTTACATGAAGGAAAAAAAAGATACAAAATTTATTAATACATGTTAGCGCAATGAAAAACCTACAACAGTTGAAAATTGAGAAAAAGTTTAACTATTATTTACTCAAAATTATTTTTGTAGGAGTGGTAGCAAGAATGAAAAGTGGTAGAAAACATTGTTTACCATCATACTAGTGAAGCATTTAAATATTATAGCAAAAGTAATTTTGGCAAATAAAAAAAAACATTGTAAAATGTAGTTTATTAAAACATGCCATAAAGTATACCTTAAAATATATGGAGAATAAATTTTGGATCAATGAATAAAAAATACATGTTTAAAAAACTTTCAGTGCACAGGGAAAGAAACTTGTTAAAAAATTAATTCAGTCAATAACTATTCAACTGTAATTCCTGGTATCTGGGGTCCTTACATAGAGTGATTCAACTTTGAACACTTTTAGACATCCTTAAATTTTTTAGGCAAATAATAATAATAAAAAAAAAACAATTGTACTATACAGATTTTTTTTTAAGTTACCGCAACTCATTATTATTTTTTCAACTTAAGAGCCTTTGCCCTTGCCTTATGCAAATTAATTTCAATCTGATGCAAACTATTTTAATTAAGTATATAATATTTTAATTCTGATCAAAAGTTTTCTGTGAGCTATTTGTTAGAAAATCAATACTTCTTAGATATAACATTACCTTTATCTAGTTTACTCAGCCTGATATATGGCTTAAGTTCATTATTTTACAAAAAGTATTAATTAACCAAATACTACAATAGTTCAACTCACTAACAGCAAAAATTAAGTATCATTTGATTATATTAAATTCTTCTAAATCAAACCTTCGGCAAAATATGATTCGCAAACACAAAAATTTATATAAGCCATATTTTTTATGTTATATTATAGTAATATAAAAATAACTTGTATTAAAAAAAAGAATTTAAGTTATATTATGAATTACCAAACATACATTCTTTCAATATAGAACACCACAATTATTTAAGCATAATTGCATTATAATTAAATTCAAATCTATCATAATATAATCATTTATACAAATTTTTCCTCATGATTATTATCCAAGTTGTATGTATGCACAACTACAGTACAAAACCTTTTATTCAATATCCTGCAAACCGGAAAATATTTTCCTGCCATTTTGAATTAGAACAATTTAGACAATATAGAAGCTGAGTATATGGAAAAAAGTTGAAGTGGGATCTTTTTCTACTTGAGTATAAAAAGAAAGCTTAAATATTTCTTTCTTAACCTTGAAGATCTTTAGGTCGGGAAGAGAAATTTTTAAAAATTTTCTCTTGTGTGTCAGAATTGGTGATTCTCGGATAAGCAGCCATTATTCAAACGTAAACACAAATGGTAACACACATTTTGGGGAGGGAGCATGTTATATAAAAAGCTTTAATAAAACTTTTCATATTATTTCTTTATTTAAATTCTCTTTGTTAATTCATTGTTCAGAGTGAAATCCATTCACATAATTAGTGAAATTCACCATTCTCTAAAAATGAATTGAAAAATAAAGTAATTATCATTAGTTTTTCCCTTAAAGAAATAAATAGTCCCGTGGGAAAACTAACATATTGTATGGACCTATTATAAATATTGAATTATCCCCTATAGCACATGTGAGTGGAAATATTTACAAAAGTTTCCCTTTAAAATACCTAAAATATAAGATGAAGCAAAACGTTTTTATAATGAATTGGATGCTCATTCTGTGATCTGAAATAATTGAATAAAAGATATCTTTTCACCTGCGTGCTTGCTTTATTTCCTTGCTCAGCCAAACAGCATTTCATATACAACATAAACATGTATATTATAATACACAAATACATATATCTATATCATTTTGTAATTTTTTTTCTTCCTATTCAAGCCGTAAGATTAAATAGTGAATAGCTTTAGAGATGGCATTAAAATTTTAAAATTTACTCTTTAAAATATTCCTGAAATTCAAATATTCCCTTTTTTTCAAATAACTGAGCAATTCTGAAAACTGTAATTCATGGATTTTCTGTTTTAAATAACCTTTTTTTCCTGTTGAGATATTCAATTATGTAAAAATTAAACAAGCATGAAATTTATTAAAAAAAAAAACTTCACAGCTTTTAAGAAAGTAAGTCCTTAGAGTAGAGAATGTTAAGTGTGATTTACAATAATAATAAATCAACATCTTTATCACAAACTGCAAAGTAAGACATTTGCAGAAGCACACCAATAATAATACACTTTCAAAAGAAGAATTTCCCCATAAAAGGTTTGGTTTAGGCAATTCAAAAATGCAAAATATAGGTCATTATAACACAAACCTTGAAACATCAGGCTTTGTATTCTATAGAATTTTTCATTTATTTTTAAACTTACCAACTAAATATGGCAATATTATTCCAGAACCTTTTTTTATATTGAAATCTTTAAAATAATTCTTAGATACAATGATTTAAAAACACAAAATATGCACTTAAATATTTATTATTTGTAGAAAAAATTGAAATTTTTTTGAAGAAATAGAATTAATAACAAACAAATTAATCAATTTTGGTTTGCTTAGCTTTTGAAATTTTAACGATTTAGCAAATAATAAAGAAATAATGTAAAAAATTAAGAACTCTTGCTTATGTATAGAAATTTCTTAACTGTAAATTTCACTGCTCACACTTAAAAATCTAGTATGGTTTATGGAGTATTGAGATTTAAAAAATTTTGTCATATAAATCTTCTACTATCAATGCTTTTTTCATCTAACACAAAAAGTCCAAAAGTTTTTAAAAATTTGAAAAGGATAAGAGGGTACCTGAGTTCCATCCCTGTTGATAGCTAAAGCTTTAACATTATCTGAATGACCTTTCAGTTTCATCATTTTCTGACATGATCTTGGATCCCAAACTCTTAAAACTTTTTCTGTAGATCCAGAAACAATAACATTACCAGATGGATTCATAGCCAAACTATAAATACTATCTTTATTACCAGATAGCGAAGAGGCTGAAAAAATTTCAGAAAATTAAACAAAAAACAAAATTAGATTTGAATTATAATACTTTCACATAGCTTTATTCATTAAAAAACCAGGCCAAAGAAACAAAAAATCACAAAATCAGCTAAAGAAATTTTTTCTACAATTCTTTTAATTTAACATTAATTACGAATATAAAAATCTGTAAAATGTCACATTCCTCTTTTCAGCATGTAGAATGCTCAAAATTGTTAATAAAAAAAAATCACAGAATTATATAATAAAAATTACTTTGAAAAACAATATATAATTTTGTCTCCCATATTTTAATCACCTATCCAGAAACTGTCCAGACTTGTATAATTCATAATAAATATAAGTACATTCAAATTTAATTTTCTTTTAAACTAACAATAGCTCTACCTGCACTAGATCTCTGTATATATCTTTCTTTAAGCACAATTAAATTTTTACTTATTATTCACATTTTAACTCATTTATCATATATGTGGCCACACAGATATATGAATCTACTGTTGAGGCTTGTCTGGAGCTTTGTAAAGCAAAATACATATCCAGAAAAGTTTTTATTTACTCTGCAAACCACAAAAATATTTTAAAATCTTATTTGGAAGTTTACTTTTCAGACAAGATGAAAATAAAATTTTGTAAAGAGGTAATGTTAGATGCTAATTAAAATACAAAAGGAAAAAACTTCATGTATTCAACTTTCAACTCTTTACGGCTAGCAAAGAGAGGAGTCACCCCCCTTGCAGAGGATCAAAATTGTAATGGCATATCATCGAATCATATTCAGGGATGTTTCACAGATCATTACTAATAGTCCATTGTGCAGCTCTAGTGCAAAATAAATAAAGTACTACTACTAATCTATTTTAAAAACCTTAAATACTTTTACTAGTGATAAATACTTTTGCTAATAGTTACAAAATCTTTTGAAAAAATATACATTACTTACTAGTAACTGTATTATTTGAGGCAGTTAATGCTGTCAATGTGTTGACATCCCATAAAAAAATAGCTCTATCCAATCCAGCTGAAGCTACTTGTTCGCGATCTTTGGCATATGCTAATGCTTTAACATAATCCTGCATAAAGTCAGTAAATTAAAATTAATTAAAATTTAAAAAAAAAAATTTCAAAGAAAAAAGAAATAAAACACATTATTAGAGAAACATTAATTTATAATAATATATATATATTGCAGTAAGAATGCAAAAGCTTTGTGAACTAACAATAAAAAACTGAAAGACGTTATATAGAGAAATATATTGTCTAGAAACTTTTGAATACTAAAGTAGGTTTCTGACACTAATTTATATTATTCTACAATCAAATGTAACATAAATTACTGGCAATGAATATTAAATAGAAATTTGTGTAACTAGGAGGCTCTGTCTCTTTCTGCCAACCCCTATCAGATACTATGATCGTTGATAGCCATTGCTCTTCAACCCTCGGATCAGTTTTAAATCTGCAATAAATTATCGATAAGTAGCAAAAATAAATAAGATTTATAAGTGGAGTGACATTTCTGACACAATGAAGAAATACAGCTTTAGAATTTAGAAACTCCAAAACTAATAGGACATTCAAACAATGTCAGACAACAATGAAGGTTCATCTTCAAATGTAAGAGTATGAGTCATGTCGGCAGATAATTGCAATTTAATTACTGCTAATAGCAGATAATTTAATTACTGCTAATAGTTTTCATTTAACTAAAATATGCGGCACAAAAAATAACTTTGTTATAAAATAAGTAAAAAACTGAAGATCTCTTATTTTAATTATGTGAAAGACTAAGCGCCCTTGCTCACCAATCCTTGGAACTACTAACAAATTTTTTTTTTCAGAATGCTACACTCATTTATTTTATCTGTCTTAAAATTAAAATAGTATACAAATGTTAAAGTCGCAGAGTATGTGGTTACAAAACATTATAATTTTACTGCAATTAGTTTTTCCTTTACATCAAAAAATCATTAATAAGAACTATTTAATTTCTCCAAAACTAATTTGAAATTTTATCAAATTGAGACTTGTTACTCATTTTCAGACATAGAGTATGAGGCTACATAAAAAAACTAAATAAATAAAAAAATAATAATTTTCCTAATAGTTTTCATAAACTGAATTATGCAGAACAATTTTTCAAAATAACTCAAAAACTAATGACCNATTTATTTTATCTGTCTTAAAATTAAAATAATATACAAATGTTAAAGTCGCAGAGTATGCGGTTACAAAACATTGTAATTTTACTGCAATTAGTTTTTCCTTTACATCAAAAAATCATTAATGAGAACTATTTAATTTCTCCAAAACTAAATTTAAATTTTAGCAAATTGAGACTTGTTACTCATTTTCAGACATAGAGTATGAGGCTACATAAAAAAAACCTAAATAAATAAAAAAAATAATAATTTTCCTAATAGTTTTCATAAACTGAATTATGCAGAACAATTTTTCAAAATAACTCAAAAACTAATGACCCCATATCAAAAACATTTTAATATCAGAATTTTATGATGGATGGCACATGTGTTGCACATCATAACACACATAAACCAAGACAAATCTTCAAGAAATTCATGTGCCAAAAACTCTAGCTGAAGAATTATATCTTACATTGTGTATTAAGACTTAAATTATGAATGTTCTGTGGGTATTGCTAAAAATAAATATCTCTTGCCATTTAAATTATTACCATTTCTTTAAATGATGAATAATTTTATTTTTCAAAATAAATTTCAAAAAGGAACTTCAATTAGTTAAATATGTACCAATAAATACTGATATAATGAAACAAAAATTGTTCAACAAGGACTGGACACAAATAGTTCAACTCCAAACATAATTTATTTCGCAGCAACTTAGATTGTTCTGACATATGTGTTCCATTTTTCTTCATTACTTAAGACTGGGTAAACTTACATGTATGTTGCATAATTTGGAGAGTAATAATTTTGTAATATGATCAGTAATTTAACAAAACATTTCTTTTAATGTATGGTTGATTATTTTTCCCCCATAAATAAAATTATTTAACTTATTTAAAGCTTACCTTATGAGTGCGTAAAGTAGACATACAAAAGCCTTTATGGGCATTCCAAACTTTCACAGTAGTATCACTTGAGGCTGAGATCACTAAAAAATATTAACAATGAAGCAATTTTAAATTGATTTTGAAAATATTTAAGACCTTTCAAATTAATACACAGCTTAAAATTCAAATGAGGATTTTTGGAACTGAAATATGTTTAACAGTGCCTAGTGTGTAAGTGCCAAGGGTCATGAACTTTTTTGTGCCTATTACCTCTTTACATTGTAAAGTTCCTACCAAAATAAGCAAGTACTTTTGTGTGTCTTGATTTGCTGTCATTGTTCTCCCATGCAGTAAATTACAAGCTATAAGCAGCTACACAGGTGACATTTTATTTAAATTATGTAAAATTAATATTTAGCAAGTTAAACAAACAAGAATTTGTAATTTACAGCAACTCATTTCCAGAAGAAAATATATATATATATCTGTAATAGAAATCTATTTATAATATAATTAATTGCCTTCATTTTAAAGAACTTAATCAATAGAGGAAATTTTTAGAAATCAAGATTGCCATATTGTCTTAAAGGTTTAAAGAAATAAAAAGTTTTCCTTTAAAAATAAGCAACAATGANGTAATTTGCAGCAATTCATTTCCAGAAGAAAATATATATATAAATATATGTAATAGAAATCTATTTATAATATAATTTCATTTACAACACAATTTCATATGACTTCATTTTAAAGAACTTAATCAATAGAGGAAATTTTTAGAAATCAAGATTGCCATATTGTCTTAAAGGTTTAAAGAAATAGAAAGTTTTCCTTCAAAAATAAGCTACAATGATAACACTATTTTAAATTACTATTTCAGTGCAATCAGGATATATCAAGTAGCGAATTGAGGCTTGTATAATTTTGTCGTTCGGCAAACACAAAAGCGTCAATCAACTGATGTTACTTGTCAATAGTTTGTGGTTTGTTTACTTACGAGCTTTCTGTTCAGGATTTATACTAAATTTCTGAAAAAAATATCAGAGTTTTTTCTGACTCTCCAAAGCAACAATTCATAGTATACTCAGTAACACCTCATTTCAGTTACAAACACATAAAAAACAAATAAATTATAAACTCAGTACAAAACAAAACCTTAATGCAACAAAATAAAGTAAATATGCATCAATACAAAATTGTTTACATTCCTTTAAGCATTTATTACAACAAGCAACAAAACACACATGGCATTCTAAAAAATATTAAGATTCACTAAGAGACTTTTTTTAAAAATTTTTAAGGAAAAGAAAGAAAACCATGAAAATTTTACTCTTTTTCAGATTTTTGTCCAGATTTGCTTTCTTTTTTCATGTAGTACTTTGCAAGACATGAAAAGCTATACTAGTGATAATTCATACCACTAGTATAGCTTTTCATATCTTGCACACCGCATAACATAAAGTTGATATTTAGCAAATTAAACAAAGAACAATTTGCACCAATTTATTTCTAAAAGAAAACTTAAAAAATATATATAAAATCTATAGTAGAAATTTATTTATAATGTGAATAAATGACTAAATTTTAAAGAAAAAAAGTAACAGAAAGAAATTTTCAAGATAGGGCAAAATTAATTTTCCCTGAGATTTCTCTAAAGCTAAATTCAGACGTCCTGAGATATCCAGGTATTCTCTAAGCTTAAGGCCTATAACCCTGCTGTTTATACCTCTTTCGACAATCATGCAGTGGTTTGCCAGGGGGCAGTGTATAATGTCATTGCAAACTTGCCCTTTTTTCATTATTCGAAAAAATTATAAAGATAAACAATACACGAGAAAAGAGCAGTGGAAAATACAAAACAATAATTTAAAATTTCTCAATTTGATTTCAACATTGAAATTTTATTAATTAATAACTTTTAAAGACCAATAGATAAATATTGTTATTTTTTAATCGTAAAAAAAAGATTGATTTCTCTTTGTTATATAGTCATTTAAATGCATGTACAACTATATGTGCTCCTCTGCTATTCTTTTTACGTGCAGTACTCACTTTTAATATTTTTAAGTATTAAAATATGTGTATTATTCTAAAAGCTATATTTTTTAAAAAAATAATAAAATTAAAAATAAAATGTAATAAAAAAAAATCAGAAATATTTAAGGAAAAGATTTGCCAGGCATCTGCACCGATATTTAGCGATTTTTTCCCTACACCGATTCCATCGTAAATATATGCAGTGCTTTAATCCTTTTCTCACAAAATTATTGCTCGAAATTTTTCCTCGGTTTCTTCAAAATCCCTATGTTTTTCATTGTTTAGTTATTATTAGAATTCTCCTGATTTTTTAAGAAATATCAATATTATTACGGCACACGAAGTTCAAACCGCGGATTCAAGAAATCTTTGACAAGCTCAGTTTGCATCAATATTAATCCAAGTAGTGTTTCAATCGTTCGTTCGACAGTTATTGCTGAGTATTAATTTTCATATTAAAAAAAAAACATATTCCAATGTTTTTTATACAATTTTATTACATGTTAAACTCAGATAAGTTATTTTATTATTTACTTTTAATGTGACAATCTCATCGTTTTTTTGACTTTTTATTATTAGTACTATAAAATTCCACAGGGTTTTTTAAATTTCGGTTATTTCTCAGTTTTTATTCCATCGACACATAAAATTTGAATTTTGCATTTAAATAACCACTTTTTGATACACTAAATTTATAATGATAGTTTCGTAAATCTATATCGTGNAATATCAATATTATTACGGCACACAAAGTTCGAATCGCGGATTCAAGAAATCTTTGACAAGCTTGGTTTGCATCAATATTAATCCAAGTAGTGTTTCAATCGTTCGCTCGACAGTTATTGCTGAGTATTAATTTTCATATTAAAAAAAAAACATATTCCAATGTTTTTTATACAATTTTATTACGTGTTAAACTCAAATCAGTTATTTTATTATTTACTTTTAATGTGACAATCTCATCATTTTTTTTTTACTTTTTATTATTAGTACTATAAAATTCCACAGGGTTTTTTAAATTTCGGTTATTTCTCAGTTTTTATTCCATCGACACATAAAATTTGAATTTTGCATTTAAATAACCACTTTTTGATACACTAAATTTATAATGATAGTTTCGTAAATCTATATCGTGTTTTGATTATATTTTTGGCATTTACTGATATTATTTTTCATGAGGTTCTTAAATATCCTGATATATTTTTGACAATGAGGGAAATTTGCTGCAATGATTCTATAAATTTTTTTTTCGGTTGTTGCAACTGATTTCCACCTAATTTTTAAAATCCAATATTTTTAATAGGATATTATTCATTACAACAACCGAATCTCAAAACGAAACACACATTTAATAACTCCTTTTTGAAGAGTTCAAATCGGGAGATTTTGCCTATCTTTTTTTAGCTAGTTATAGTTACGCATTTCATGATTATTAATTATTTTATTTTAATGTGATGATAATTTACAAAATGCACTAAGGAAGTGATTAGTGTGATTTTCCCCCCACAAAAGGTGAGAATATGACCCATAATATTAGAATAAAAATGTAATACATATTCAATGAAAAGAGTTATGTATAATATATTTCACCTGAATAGGGTTTTTTTCCCCTTGTTTTTTTGTAAACACAACCCTTCTGTTACTTTAAATTAATAACAAGTATATTTATTTATTATTAGATATTCTGTCACAGGGGGTCTCTGTAGTGAGGATTGATCAAAAGAGTGTACACTGTATTACATTTTTAAACAATTTGATGTCAGTTTAGATCTATAGTACAAAAAATTAAATTTGATTAGCTTGATTCAAAATTATGTGCTTAAAAAGTGTAACATGGTAAACAGTGTAGCAAAGTAAAAACTCACATAAAAAAATTATCAAAATGTTGTAGATGGCTTAGTTGAATTTAAAAGAAAGAGATTAAAAAAGAGTTTAAAATTAACTTACAATTTTTCCCACCACAGCACAAAACTATATCATTTACCCAATCTGTATGATGCTCCATGGATTGAATAAAAGGTTCCTATAGCGAAGAAAATCATAACTATTCAACAATAAAAGAAAACATTTATGTAACAGAACAGCTGCCATTTTGAAACAGAAAAGTAGTTTTTAATCAAAAAAGAAAGCTGCTTTGAATCATTAAAAAAAAACTTAGGTATATAGCAGACATAAATAAAGTGTTTAATTAGAATAAGGATTATTATTAATAATTATTTTGAATAGATAATTTAAAAGTTTCAGTGAAGGACACCTGGAGCATGACATAATGTATTTCTTTATCTGTTACTTTTATTGATACAGAAGTGCTCACAAACTGTTTTGCTTTCTGATAACCGAAATAACTTAGAAATAAGATAAACACAATGTTCATTAAATAAAATTATAATTTTTGTAAAAGTAAATAATTTTTTTTTAAAAAAAAGGTTTCAATACATCATATGTTAAATTCTTTACAATTAAAAAGAATAATGAAATTGATCTTCCATTGAAAAATTTTTTCCCCTCCCCATTCATACCTCACTACTTAGTTTTAGCTATTTCGATCTCCAGCTCTGTACCCACTTGAAAAAAAAAGTTGATAACAAAACCTTTTAATAATTCATAGCAAATTTTAAAGATAACAACTCTGGTATTTTTGCTGAAATTTCTGATTAACACTTTGGAACCCAAATAATAAATGTAACCAGCATAGAAATTAGCACTGAAAATGCATTTCTTTAAAAGATATATATGTACCTACAAGTGACCTGTTAAGCTCATTAACTACAATAATATTTAACAAATGAATAGAACATCAAGCCAAATTTATAACTAATGATATGTATAATATATGGATTTAATAGAAACACTTTCATTTCTCATGATAAATATCTGCGTTCTGAACAACATATTTTAATTTTAGTAAAATCTTCAGCCCAATACCAATTTTCTATTGTAGAAGATCACTTTTGCTCAACTAAAAGTTTAATTTAAAGTAAACTTTTATTATAAATGAGACACATGTATAATTTTTAAAGTACCTTCAAATTTCGAACATTCCATATTCTAATAATGGAATCTCGACCAGCCGAATAGAGGCGACCTAGATACCCATCAAATTGAAGAGAATTCACACCAGATCTGTGATATTTTTCAATTTCATCCCGAATAACAAAAGATACCTGTAAAGAAAAACAAACAATATCTAAGAAATTTTTAAAATAATAAGTTGGATTTTAATTCATAATCATCATAAAATAATCAGGAGGGAGTAAGGATAAAAAAAATTTCTCTAAAATATAAAACAGTTGTTGTTTGTAAATTATTAAAAGGTTACTTGATTGCAAAAGAATGAATTAAACTCTGTTGTTTTAAGGCACTGCAAATTTTTTTATTATAATTTCTGGTAACAGGTTTTGTCTAATTTCTTTGTCTATATTTTACTGAGACCGGTTGCGATCCTTCTATTTTGTTAATTTAAAACATATAGGGAAAAAATTTGTTATTTTTAATATTCAAAATTCGATTAAATGAATTAGCATAATTCATTTCATGATTATGTTAACTATGAACTATGCCAATTTTGAATGCTAATTCACTTCTTGAATTAGCATTTCTTCTCTCCCTTTCTTTTCGTCCTGATGTCATGACCATGTTTCCTTCTTTCCTCCAACCTCTAGGCTGCCTTTATCGATAGGTTGCCATCTCTTGGCCTTACCATAGTTATGATAAAAATTCCCAAATTCTTAACATAAACATTACTTAATATTGAAAATTCAAGAGAATGGAAGGCAAGAATCAATTATGTGAAAGCAAGGAGAATTCAATGGCTAGGACACCTTGAGAGAATGGAGGAAAACAGAGGCACTAGGAAGATATTCAAAGGGCAGTGTCAGGGCCAAAGGAAAAGAGGAAGGCCGGTCAAAAGATGGTTTGACGAGGTGGAAAAAGACCTTAAGACTCTAAAAGTTCGAAGCTGGAAACAAAGAGCTAGAGACAGGCGACTTTGGAGGAAAATTGTTAGCGAGGCCATGGACCAACATGGACTGTAATGCCAGGGAGTAAGTAAGGAAGGAAGGCAAGAAACCCAATGCTAAGTTATGTGAAACTTCATAGTTATTTCTTATTCATACTTTTAAAATATTTAAACACTGCTTCTTTTAAGAAAAAAATTACAAAGAAACAGAATATTTTATAATAATTGGGGGAGATTTCCGCATAGTGATCCGTGGCAGAAATATCGCAAAGTCATCCGACAACTTCCGGATACGTTACGGAAACATCCAAAATAATAGCAGCAAACAAATTTAAGCATAATATACAAGGGAATAATTGGGTTACAAATTACTATCCTATATGGTTACAATCATGAAAACGAAAAGAAAAATTTCATAAACTAATAGCAGGCTACTCGATGATTTCAAACTGATTTATTATTTAATTTCTTTTTGGTACTTACCTGAACTTTCTTACGTATTCCATGACTACTAGGTTGCCTGTGGTGGGCAGCCATACCAGTTGGTGCAGGAGTTAGCATTATTCCCTTATATCAAAAAATATTCCGTGAATGACCATGATGAAGGAAATAAATTCCAATATTTGAATAGAATTCACATGTTTAGAAAAGGATATTCAATATCCATAGAAAAGAAAAGCAAACTCAAGACGAAAAATACTGTAATACATTTCTAAGTTAGGTTCCAAAAGAAAACATCCATAAATTAAGATCTACTGAAACATTGTCATCATTCCATTGTAGGAATATGACTTCGCTTTGACCTGCACCTCTTTATTATTGGCGATCGAAATGGGCTGTAGGTGGCGTAGAGCAGATCTCTCTACCTATGGTAACACTTCGCATGCATTTCCAGTAGCGTGTGGAGAGTCATAGAGGCAGGAAGTACGTTAGTTTCTCTCTTGATTTTCATATAGATTAAAATTTTATAAGATATTCTTATAAGATCTTATTAGAAGTTCTATATAGATTAAAATATATATGGAACTGAAAACTACATTAAACATAGTTCTAAAGAAAAGCATCCCTGAAATTTAAAAAAATATTTTTATTAAAGAAAAAGGAAAAATAATAGGAAAATGGAAAATATCGCAGTACATTCCTATTCAAATGAAGAGAGGAGGAGAGAGAAGGGCCAAAGGCATGAAACCGGTCTCTCCCCAGATGGCGTATTCGAGCATTGCAATCGCCAATAATTAAACAAATATTTTGAAATTTATGTGACAACTGCACTATGGATGGTTAAAAAAACCATATAAAACTAAGCACAGATGGCGCTAGGAGTTAAAATTCGTCGTAAGAATTCCAGGTTACTACTTCCGATAGATTTTTACGCCTAAACTTAAAAAAGCGCGCCATTCATTATTATTATAGTAATAGTGTAACGCAATAAAACGCATTCTTTCAATTTAAAATTCAACGAAACAAATAACAAATGAATTCGAAATGCTGTGATGCAACCCAGAAAATATCAAACTTTCATAATTTACGCAAATATAGCCAAATTAGGAATAACATTCAAAACAGGGCAAACATTACATATTATTTATGTTTTGATATAAATTTTCATAAAAATTTGTTTTAGGCCTAAAACAAACTGGAATTCGTAGATTGTAAGAAATTCTTATGAATGCTAAAATTATGCATAAATTTAATCACAAATTACAGTATCCGATTGCAGCACTCGACTGCGCCATCTGGGGAGAAGAACGGTTCCATGCCTTTGACCCTTCCCTCTCCTTCCCTTTTAAATTTTATAGAAATGTACTATGACATTTTTCCTTTCTCATTATAACTTTAGCCTTGATGAAATTTAAAGGGGAGAGCTTATAGTCACTACATGTGTATTGCTATTTTTTGAATACACTATCGAAATGGTGATAAAACGTTATTTTAAATAATTAGTAATTCGTCTAAATTTTGTTTAAAAATAAAAGTAATCTTCTTTTATTTGTATTTGGTTTGCTAGGTGTTAAAATCTTTGAAAACTTTTGTGTTCTAAGCCCAACGCATCTCAATGAGACTAATGGCCATTGTTCATGATCTAAAACAGATATTTTTGTTAAAAATCTTTAAAGTTGATAGACATAATAATTTGGTTTTCTCGTTGTTTAGTGCTGAATTATCAACTAAAAACAACAATTTAAAATCTCGATATAATAAAAAAGTTAGCTTAGTTTCAAAATTTCACGCGATTATGTCCTGTCTGACTAAAATTTTCAATCGAAATTTTTTGACCCTAAGGGATAGCTAAATAAAGAAACTTTCACTCTAACTCATACACCAAAAATTAGAAAGCTATATTTAAAAATTAACAATGACTTAATAATAATATTATTACTTTCCTGGGATTTGGTATGAATTGTCTTGATAACGGGTAAACAGGTATAAATAGAAAACAGTACTTTTTATAAATAAAAGGTACAGTACAAAATATCCTAAATAACTTCTAAATAACTAATATAGCAACTGAGGATTCATTTTTATTCAAAACAGTGTAAAAAACTTCATCGGAAGCAATACCTAACCTGTCTGTATAGAGACATTTAAATCTATTTTTCCTTTTGTTTCTTCTCCTCAAAAAAAAATTTAAAAATGGAATATAGAACACTCCCAGAACCCTTAGAGAGGAAATATGAAGTGGCCCAAATATCCTAAAAAATGTTCATACTATGTACTAATAAAAATAAAGATATCAAGCTTTTATCAAGACGTGCACTGTCGTATAAGCATAAATTTTAATATTATGCTGCTCTATTAACTCCATCACAGATATTTCATACTGATCATGTTTATCACTTAGAATGCTAAATAAATAGGATTATTTACATATTAAAAACTTTTTAGCTTGCGAATTCACGAATATTTTCTTTTCTTTTTATTTACAGTTTCAAAAAGATCACAATGAAGACGAAATTTAAGGGTTGTACTAATAGCTTAAATTACTTAAAATTAAATAAACTAATTAGAAAAGATGTCCCTTCGGCAGTGAGTTTAAAATCTCTTGGACAAAGTTGGTTAAAAGCTTTATTTGTTATGACACGTTAAAGCTTTTAGTCTTGATAAAATCCAATGGGGAGAGATAGTTATATGTATAATACTACAGAATATTAAAATACACTATTGATAGGAACGAAAAACATTATTTTAAGCAATTAGTATTTTTTTCTAATTTTTTTAAAATAAAATTAGATTTTTTTAATTGAATTTGGTTTGCTAGGTGTTAAAATGTTTTAAAATTTGGTGTACCCACCCTCAACGCATCGCAGTAAGACCAACGGCTATTTTTTATGGTCTAAAGAGAATTTTTTGTTCAATATCTTTAAAGGTGATACATATAATATTTCAGTTTTCCCACTTTTTATCTCCAATTAAAAAAAAATTAAAATCTCGATGTAATAAAAAAAAAGTTAACTTAGCTTTAAAATGCGGGTAATTTAATAGCCATTCAATTTTTTCCGTCACTATGACAGCCATTATGTCCTTCTTTCTCTATTAAATGTATTTTATACTAGTTTAGTTTTTGCTCCGATTTTTTAAAGGTTCGTTAAATTAGGGGGCTTGTTACCGCTTGGCTACTAACGTAGTTCTTTTCAGATCGCTTCGCTATTTGAAATTCATTCTTCTTTCCTGGATTATCCACCATTGATGACTTCAAGAGAATTGCAAAAATTTTAATAATTCTCTCTAAATCAAATTATACGGTGGAATAAAAGAATTTCAATTTTAACATAAAATAATTAAAAAAGGAATGTTCTTTTACTTAAATTATATTAAGCGATACACTCTCTGCTCACTAACACTTATCAACCCGAGCGTGGAACTGCTTGCACAGTGCTTTTTCTCGCCTTCTCTATTTTTTTAATCGCTTTTCAAGCTTATCTCACTCATCTTAGAATTATTATAATAATGGGGGTTAAGATATTACGATGGGTTAAGATATTCAAAATAAAATTATAATTATTATGATTAATAATATTTCGGAACCAAAACTGGAAATTAACCTAAAAAGAAGCGTTATTTCAATTTCTTTTTCATTTATTCATTCTTTCAATTTTAATAAATTCTTGAATACAACCTGAAAGAAAATTGAATTAAAAAATAAGTAAGTTTAGAGTAAAAAATAAGAAGTCAAAATGGAAATTTAAATGGAAATGTTGCAAAAGCTAAATTTATTCCTTTTAAAATACGTTTAAATTATCAAATTCAGTCTGAAGGAAAATTTTATATAGTATATGCATACTTAATAAAGAGAAGGAAAGGATAGTCAGACTCAGGTGAAATCTAGGCGAGGACGGGAAAGGAAATATGCTCATAGAGTCAGAAACAGACTTGTTGTTGACGTATACCTGTTTAGACAGAGGGGGTGCGATTGTTCTTGTTTTCCAGTGGCGCTATTTATGGCCAAGAATTCGACTTCTGCCACACCATACGTCGCACCTGTTTATAAGGCGGACCTATTCATACATCCATTCATTCATCCACAGATCGTAATTTTGACCTGAATCAGAGAACGATCGATCTCCAATCCAGTTACCCCCAGAGGTATTGATTTGTTATGGGAACATGGAGGACTTTTGCGACTCGGCAGATTTAACGAGCATCAGTCACTTTACTACACGGGAGTCTTCGGTGGCGGGGTTCGAACCCAGCGCCCTACCGACCAGGCTATCCCGGCACACAGATTCGTTTAACTCTCGATATCAATTTATATAAAAAAATTACATTTGCTTTCGTAATGTAAATATAATCTAAACTTGTTTTCCTCATTTCTTTAGTCCAGCTGAAAAGACGAGAGAAAAATTACGTTGTTTTCGCTAGCTTTCAGAAATTGCATAAAAAATAACTTCGAAATTTTAAAATATAATGTCTCCGAAACTAATTCGAAATTTACGTAAAATTATTTGTTTTTTCCCCCCACTGTCTTAAGAATACATGTCTTCAGAAAAATTATAGTTTTACTCCAATTAGTTTTTCTTATATATTGAAAACCAAAAAACGGCCAACTAATGAATAGCACCGAAATTAATTCGAAATTAAAACAAAGTGAAACGGTTTTAACATTTGAATATGTGGCTGTAAAAAGTCATTATTATCCTGCCAATAGTTTTCATTAAACTGAATTAAAATTCTTCAACACTGATAAAACAGCATTTTAATATCTGAATTTTCTTTAAACATTTTTCTAGAAATGTGCTAAATTTCTTATTGTTTCATCAAAAAGTTTTTATTATGGCAGTGAGAGAAGTACGCTCGACGAAAATTTCCTGAAATAGCGGTGATGGTATAAGTAACTTTTTTTAATTTCGGGAGATATGTTATAATTGAATCTCATTAGCATTTTTTTAACTCATGTCTATAGATTCCTCTCGCCTATTCTTTTTAATAGCAAGTTATGCATGCGATGAACAGTAGGCACAAGGAAGTGTCTTCACATCAGATTATAACTATGGAGGGACGTAGACATAGGAACCGGAAAAGAACATAATTTTTACTGGAGAAATTCACAATGTAATTATTTGTTTTTGCATATCAATCATAAGTATTTCTTTCCTGGTAACTTTAACTTAAGGAATATATTGAATTTTTGATCAATTTATCAGCACGCACGATGAGCCACCTTTTTGATTAAATTCTTATAATCCTTTTTAAAAATAATGGTAAAAAAAGCTCACATTTTAGTGGTCTAATTTATATTTAAACGAGGACAAGACGAAGAAGCAATCGAAATGTAACGAATCAATGCTTAGAAA